CAAGAAGCTAAAGAGTGAATAAGCAAACAGCGGAAAGTTCAGGCTTGACATGAGGAAACAGTTTAATGAGAGGGGTGGTCAAACCACAGACTTCCTTAAGAGGTGGTCAGTGCTCCAAGCCACTCCCTGTTCCAGAGGCGCTTGGACAATCCTCTCAGTATGGTTCCTCTCAATATGGTGTAATTGATGATCAGCCCTGGAGTGCTCAGGTACTTGGATTAGATGGTAATTTTTGGTCCCTTCCAGTTAAAATGTTCTTAATTATTATTGTGCATACTTGATACTTCAGAGTTGGAAAAACAATGTTGAAAGGTTCTTAATTCCTGTACTAATCATCCAGTTAGTAATTTTTCATTGTTGAAGGCAATCTTCTTTAATGTCCTCTACACAAACCTTGCTACCTCCACCTTTAAAACAGTTTAAATTTCTGAAACAAGTACTTGAAGTTGGGGATTCACCTCAGAAATGTTACTTGACTGAGTGTTGTGAGAGTAAAACACAGAGGTATTTTTAGGTCACCATGAAAATGTTGATTGCTCAGCAAGTATGTAATTTTAAGATTTGTTAGATTTCTTCTTCCTGCATCAGAGAACATTTTTTACATATACAATATTAACGAATATCAGACTATCAGGGCAGTGCTAACAATTAAATTGCACCGTTAAAAAAGGTACCTTTCTTAGTTTAAGTACATAACTGATCTCATCATAGTCATAGTATTGGAAAAGATAGTGCAGGTTGCAACTAAAATGTCTCAACCATGCATAGGTGAACTTTTCATCCCAATGGAACTGTACAAAGTGTCAATAATACCTCATGCTGCACAAGGAAGGGACTTCTAATGTATGCTTTGTGATATTCAGTCACTGATAACTTCTTAATAAAGACACATCTGTATATGTCATTTTCAGGTATGATAGAGCACATTCTTTTGTATAGCATATTTAATCTTGAAACCTTCGTAGTGCTTATGAAACCATAAACTCCTGGAGATACTTTTGAATGTATTCACCTGTAAAACAGTTTTCATTGTACAAATTAAACCAATGGTTTAGAGCAGAGGGTGATGAAGAATGCATTATTCACATGAAATTATGTGGGCAATTCAGGACAGCAGAATACAACTATTTACACTGAGGTTTGACAAAAATCAGAAATTTGTCAATAAGGCAAAAGTAATACTCCTTTCTTTACAGAAAACCAACAAGATAGGTCCTTCCTTACCTCTTACCTGAAAAAGTGTCTATCGGCATAAATGGCCTCTTGAATCCACCTAGAACAGCGGCATTAGTTCACTAAGGGTATCAGAAGAGAAATGAGAAATACTACAGAAATTCTCTCTGTCAACTACATACTTAGCAATCATTTAAAGAAACACAAAAATGTTTATAAATTACAAATTAGAGTGAGAATTTTCATTCTGACAATTTGAAGAGGTATCAGTAGTTAATTTTCAGAAAAAAAAATCAGAATTTTACAGTACTTTTATTTCCTATATGAAAACTACTGTGTTTCCTTTCATTTCATTTACAACCTTTTTATTTTCATTTAGCAGGAGGTTTGTCTTTAGCTTGCAAATATTCTTATGTACCCATGCACTAATGTATGTTTTGTTGTGTTATAAATTCCACATTTTAGTGCATATCCTGACTTGTACCTTAAAAGGACAAAATTCAGTGCTTGTTTATTATGTAATACACATAATAAGGCCACAAATCAAAATTGGAGATAATGTCATTGTTGCTTGGAATGTTGTTCAAGTATCATGCTAATTTGTGTGTGTGTGTGTTTGTGTGTGTGTGTGTGTGTGTGTGTGTTGAGAAGCAGATATCTGTAGATAATGTTGCTAAAAATTTAAGATTGCAGTTGAATGGAATAGTAGACATTAGATTGCAAAAAAATATATCCACTGGTCAAAGACTGTGCTTAGTTATTTTAAAAAGACTTTATTTGTTTTTCCTTTCTTCCATTCTACCTCAACCTTTCCAAAGCTATTATCCTCAGAATGGCCACCTTACATGAAGTGGATATATGTCCACAGAGTGTTGTAATCTTATTGTTAGAGAAATTAAAAGCTATTAGATCTGTCATCCACCCAATAATCCTTAGATAAAGATGTCTTATAGTCATTCTCGCTTAGACCACAGTAGAATAATGATCTTAACATCCTCAGCATAAGTCTTCTTTAGATGGAAGAATTTTTTTCCTCATTGCAGGCATGGTATTTGCTGCTAAGAAGAGAGAAACAAAAACAAATATTAGGATATACTAGAAATGCAGTATGATTCATTAGTCATTAAAAATATCAAGTATTCAGAAAATATCTATTCATGTCTTGGTTCTGGTCTAAATTTGCATAAACTTGGAGAAGCCAGTTAATATATTTGGACCCTATTCTCATTCTGTAAGACTGAAGTTGAAAAGCTCAGGGTGATCCAGATCTGGCCAATAATTTCAAGAGTCTGTTAGAAGTGTTCTTACAGAGTATCTATTTGAAACTAATGTTACTTACACCACTCCTACTGTGAAGAATGCTAGTATTAGAAAAAATAACACCTTTATTTTATTCTTTCTAAGGTTGATCAGTCCCTCCGGTACACATATATACATATATCACCCCATATACTGCTCAACCTGCAGAATAAAATTATCAATTTTCTTGGCTTTTCTAGCCAAGAACTTTCATGACACATCTATTATGGTAGTAGCAAAATAACCATATCAGAAAAAGGATCATACATAAAATGGCAGGGGGTGGGGAGCAGGACAGTATAACCTCTTTAAGCATCAATCAAATCTCATTCATTACGTCTTGTACAAAAATTAGTTCCCAAATCATGAAGCCTACATATATGTAGTAGTTTGGAAGAAGAGCTTTCGGAAGAAAAAACCCCCCTCTTCATGTTCCGCAGTATAAATGTCCTGTGAAGAGATGTAGGACTGAAGTCCCTAGGCTTGCCAATTTCTTATCTTGTTTAAATGATAAATTAATATTTAAAGCTATTTATTCAAAGTTGACTTAGCCACTAGAATAGGAAAGATGAGACAATTCAGTTGCAAGAAATGAAGTATGAGGAAACCGGAACTCTTTGACAATGTAGTCCTTGGAGTAAACGTGTTGAATGAAGCCAGCAAGTAAATGATAAGGGCCTTTGCGCTCTGGATGTAAGAAAGCAATTTATCAACAGTACATGAACTCTCTAGTGACCATAAGCCAAGAAGAAACTGAGTACAGGAGAAGTCCCTATAAGATTATTTTAAATGCTCAGAAATTTTGTTTAGAAAAGAAGCTTAGGTGCTGCTGTAACATAGTTCATAAAGTAGAAATTAAATTTAAACATTGATACATCATGGAATGCATATGTCATATGCAATTCCATCTTTTTTATCTTCACAAGGGGATAAGAACTACCTTTGTCCTGCAAATTTCCCTTATTGCTAAATTATTCAAATCACAGTGAATAACATGGAATTCATAAAGCCAGGTGAAAATAACTAGCCAGCTCTAGTAGAAGTGAATTAATGATAAATTTTTTGGTAAATCAGGAGCTTTAGTTTTAACAAGTTTAAGAGACTGGAGTTAAGGGAGTATCTGTTTTATTTTTTTCCTCTAGAGATTAAGTATCAAATCTTTAACAGTCCCATTCAATTTGGCATTGCTTCAGTCTTGGTCATTAGTTAATCATAAATTTCTCTTGAACTATGACTATTGTAGGTTCTGAGTCTCACCTGAGAACCTTTCTACCATAGCAATTAAAATTACTTGTGACCTTTGGAAACTAGGGCTGTTTTGAACTGCATCTGTGGAAAAGGATCCCTTAGTGATGACTGGCATCCATTAGGAGTCCATACTGGGACCAGTACTGTTTAATATTTTCATCAGTGACGAAGTGAGGCTTTCAGCAAATTCTCAGATGACACCAAGCTGAGTGGTGCAGTTGACACACCAGGATGCCATACAGGGGGACCTGGACAAACTTGAGGTAGTGGACCCATATCAAACTCATGATGTTCAGCAAGGTCAAGCTGCTGCATCTGGGTCAGGGCAATCACAAGCCCAAGTACACAGAAAGATGAACTTTTTGAGAGCAGCACTTCAGAGAAGGACCTGGGGAACTTCAGTGAGTGAAAAGCTGAACATGACTTGACAATGTGCACCTGCAGCCCAGAAAGCAGACCATACCCTGGGCTGCAACAAAAGCAGCACTTCCAGCGGGGTGTGGTAAATGATCCTGCCCCTCTGCTCCCCTCTGGTGAAATGCCACCTGAAGTAGTAAGCCCCTACTAGTAGTAGTAGTCTGGGGTTCCCAGCAAAGGAATGACATGCACCTTTTGGAGCAAGTCCAGAGGAGACCACCAAGATGATCAGAGGAACGGAGGCCCTGTTCTTTGAGGAAAGGCTGGCAAAGTTGGAATCCTTCAGCCAGGGAAAAAGCTGAAAGGAAACTTGGACAAGGCTCCTTGGCAACCTTATTAGGCTTTCAGTGCTAGAAGGGGGGCCTACCAAAAAGGCTGGGAAGAGACTTTTGGCAAGGGCATGTAGTGATTGGACAAGAGGCAATGGCTTTAAAGTGGAAAGAGGAGAGTAGATTTAGATTAGATATAAAGGAGACTTTTCCAAATATGTTGAGGCATTGAAGTAGTTGCCCAATGAGGCTCTAGATGCCCCATCCATGGAAATATTCAGGTGGTATGAGGCTTTGAGCAACCTGATCTAGTTGAAGATGTCCCTGCCCATGGGAGGGGAGTGGACTAGCTGATCTTTAAGGGTCCCTTCCAACACAAACTATTCTGTGACTCTATGTTTCTATGAATCATCCAGGTGATATTTCTCTGGAAAATAAGTGTATCTACCAAATGTGATATATATATATATATGTATAAAATACATATATAAACATATATATGTATAAACATAAGTGTGTATATATATTAGTCTTTGGAGTTCTTTTCTTGTATTTTCTTTGCTCTTTCCTTATACTTGACACCTTTTCTTTCAGCCTTGGACAAACTTAGTACTCAGCACCTCTACCACCCAACTCAAGTGGAGATTGTGCAGTCCAATGTTGTGTTTGACATCAGCAGCCTGATGCTCTACGGTACTCAGGCTGTGCCTGTGAGACTGAAGATACTGCTTGACCGACTCTTCAGTGTACTGAAGCAGGAAGAGGTGTTGCATATTCTACATGGCTTAGGCTGGACACTGCGAGACTACGTTCGAGGCTACATTCTTCAGGTAGGAAATAAAGCAAAGCATTTTTTCAAACCCAGTAAATTGATTTTTTTGTTGTTGATGTATGGATGTAGTGATGGTGTGCCCAAAGAGGTAGAAGGATATGAAGTGAATTTAGTCTGGCATGTTGAAGCATAATGGTGGTGCTGACAAAATAAAATATTCAATTTTTCCTAAGCTAAAAAAATACAGGTGCCTTCATACCATAGTATTTATTTGTACTTGCTTGTGTTTACTGTAGGAAATGCCTTAAATACTGCAAATACTGAGGTTAGCTACCTGCAAGCATGATCTGGCCATCAAAGGCAGCTGGCAAGTTCTCAAGGGCTACTGTTTGTCTTGGGAAACTAAGATGCAAGTCAGCAGCTCTGTCATCTGTTCTTTCCTTCTTTAGAAAGATACCTAAAAATGTATAGATGAAATTGGGGTTGTGATCGTTACTATATTGGAAAGTATCCTTATGTATAAACAGGAAAATTCTCCTTATAAGGCCATTTTTGAAATATAACTTTAAATAAAGTGTTGTGTGCATATCAGTTGAAATAGACAATCAGAAGAAAAATATGTTTAACAAAAAACTGAACAGCCTTTTTTATGGGTATGGTCATAAACATATGTATAGCTGCTTATCTGAAAAATTTCATAATCTATTAAATTCCAAAGTGAATTTTTGCATTTCGTAAGACTATTTCTGATTAATAACCTAACACTACATACTTCTGAATTCTCTTAATTGCTGTTAACTTTGTAGGAGCTTTTCATCATCTAGAATGCATCCAGTTATTAAAGTGGACATGCCTAAAAAACTGAAAATTTTAGTTGCTGATTTATTGCTTTATTTTGTAGGCAATGATAGCATGCCTAGAACTTCATTGAAAATACAGGATTTATACCTGCTCTGAGAAATTCTGACTCTCTTTCTTAATTTGTCTTCCGGTTTCTGTACTTTGTGTGGAAGAGGTAAATTAGCTGCATGTTGGTTCTATGGAAAACCTCACCTTCTCTGCTTGTAAATATTTTCTTAAATGCTCTATATTTTCTATTTTCACAGAAAAAATGTACTGGATTTTAAAACAGCCCTAGGAAAGAGAACTAAAAAGGTTTACACTTTAACAATGAAATCTTTTTATTCTTGTTAGGACATATATGGAATGGAGCTCTTTAATTGTTTCAGGGTTCTCTCAGGCATCTATTTTGTAAAGGCTAATTGTTATACCTATTCAAATAGAAGAGAATCAATTTTTTCCATTACCAGTCTAAAACTAACAAATAAGGATATATCCATCATATTTGTACAGCAGATATCTATGATGTTTGTGTGATATAAATGTATGGTTATGTACTTATACATTTTACATAATATATATAATAAAGATGGATATATGAGAGCTATCTACAGAGATATGTACTGGGATAATGTGCATATTACATCATATTTTAGATTCCTGGATTCTGAATGCTACTGATCTGGAGGGTTGAAGAAATTTGATTTGTAAAGAAATTTATGTAAAAAAATACATATTGTTTAGGATATTATATTACACATCTGCTGGCTTCTAAATGTGATTAATAATTAGGGATAATATATTCCAAACATAGAATGTAATTCTTTTTTTCTTATAGACAAGAAGACTGACTGAAATCAGTACTTTTCTTGTTTTAAAGGTTGTTGAATCATGATCAAATTGATTTTTTTTAAACTATCATTTGGAATGATCTCAATATATGCAAGAATGGCTTGTAATATAATTACATAGATGTTTATACAGACTGAGACTGTAACCTATGAATCTGAAAGCTGTAAAGGCCTGAAATACCCCATTAGGTCACAGTTCAGTTTATCCAGCTAAAACTCAGTCACATTGTAGCCTCCAAGGCATGAATTTCGCCATACTATATTCAACAACAGTATATTGAATATTATGCAATTTAAATGAGAACAATTATCAGTGAAAGTTAAGGGCAGCTGTTACAGACTTGCCACATATTGACTTCATTAGCACTCGACTGTGGATTTTCTTAATGAGTGAATGAAGACCTATGATAGGTGTGTAGTCGAGCATCCCTGTTAATTTAGCTGTCTAATTTCAAAGAATCACACACTGCTCAAGGTTAGAAGGGAGGTCATCTTGCCCAAACCTTCTGTCCAAGCAGAGCCACCTAAAACTGTTTGTCCAGGACCATGTCCAGATGGCTTTTGAATATCTCCGCAGGATCTCTAGGCAAAAAGTACATTTGTTTCCATTAAAGCTAGAAAACTCAGTATATGGCAGGAAAGGAAAATTTTTAGTAAAAGATACAGGCAGAGAAACATTGGAAAAATGAATTAAATCAATGATAATAAAAATGACTTCTTTAAAAATAACTCTATTGGAAGTATCTGTTATAAAGGAGAAAAGGAGTATGCAGGGAAATTTGAAAGGAAATTTAAATTGAAAACACTAGCATAGTAAAAGTGCATACAGGTAATGCCTCTTTTGGGCAAAAGGCATTGTTCCATGAAAGCTTATAATTATAGACTGAAACTTTTCAAAGACTTGTTTGAGGCTTTCAGACTCAGCTTTTGCATACAGAAAACTGAGAATAAAATGTTGTAAGCATCGTACAGGAGTATCAAAAATACCAAGTACCAAAACAAATCATCCAGAGTACCACGAACTATGGGACTGTTGATAGGCTATCATGCAGTGAACTGAGGAACATCTGACTCTCAGTCAGGAATTATAGTTCTTTGTAACTTGTCTGTTCAAACCCACCTAAACTGTCACCTAGCTGCAGTCAGTTCTAGTAAATTTACCATAGATTCATACATACTCACTGTACATCAAATGCAGAAATAGATATCTGTAGGAAAAGGTTTACTATGGTAGTGTAGAGAAGCATAACCTAGTAAAAATAATATTTTACACTTGTAACATTACAGAATCATCTATAACACTGTTCTCCTGTTTTTTCCTCAGGGGAGGAAAAACAGGAAGCTTAGTAGCACAGACTAAGAGAAGTAACAGAATAGAAAATGGTAATGGTTATAACAGATTCCAGAATACTTTATCCAGGTTTGAGTTCCAGTGTTGATTAATTAACCACCATGCAAGAGATTTGTAAAACTGGCACAAAGCTTGAGTTTTGTGCTTTGGGATGGTTTAAGGCATCCACCTGTGCTGTATGTGCCCTCAACGTGATGAAAGTGTTAAAATATTTTAACATTTTCTCTAAATGGAAGTGTTTTGAGGAGGAGGGTAGATGTATCCACTCAAACTCAGTTACTGTTGTCAAATGATTTCCACAGCCAACAAACCAACCATCCAACCAACCAAAAAAACCCCAACAATGAACCAAATGAACAACCCCCCTGCAAACTTCACAGTTTTCAACTTCCAACTTTCAAGAAAAAGCTAATGGTTTGCTCCACTGGAGAAGCAAGAGGAAAACAGTTGTTTATTAATGCTGCACAGTGGGTGGGATTATTTATAATATCTTCATTTTGACTAATAATGTTTCCAAATAGCAAATTATAAAGCAATGGACAGAGAAAAATGCAGTATTTATTCCTTCATTCAATGGATGCATTAATAGAGCGCAGGAAGTCAAGGAACCCTAAAGCTGCAGGGGTAATTTGATAACACCACTTTTCACATTTGGGCACAGTCACCATATTGCCAGTAATGGCTAAAAGGCATTAAGACCTGGCAAAATTCTCTGGCCTCCATGCAATAAATAGAGTTTCTCATGAATAGATGCCTATCAATGAAGTGTTAATGACAATTTGGTGACCAATCTCATCAGACTGTCAGAGGATTAATGTTTTAGCAGAGGAGCTGTTCTCTCATCTTTAGAACTGATTGTCAAAAAAACTTTATGGCATAAAGGAACATTCGGGATTGTGTTTGCTCCATAGGAATTCAGAGTGCTTCAGATTTTAGGCTTGTTTTTTCTACCTCAAGGAACTAATTTACTGTATTTGGTATTGACCTGTGTGTGGTTAGTGAGCCTGTAAGTTTTCTCTTTTGGAAACACCTAACTTCCCATGTCTTTTACATGACAAAAAATTATTTTTGTAAAAAACAGTGGGTGTTTTGGGTTAGATACTGCATATAATACTCAAAGAGATGTATGACTAGTCACTCTGTTGATTTGAATGATGTTACTTTTTCTGTAAAGAACAGCTCAACTGTGAGTCTCCAACCCTGGTTTAATTCCAGCTAAGCTGAGAGAAGAGGTAACTTTGCCAGCTGTTGTATAATCCATTGGAGATCACAGGGTTGGGAAGAATACTTTACCCTATCCATTTGCTAGTACAGCTACATGTGCAATTGCTCCCTAGCCAGGTTCTCTTTAAACAAACCAGGTTAGAAAAATCCTCCTTCTAAACATGTGGAAGTTAACACTCATTATTCTGAGAGGAAAGGGCTAGAGAGCAATTATGCCACTAGCAGTGAACAGCTGGACCAGTGTAAAAGCATTCCACTTTTACATTGGTCCAGCTACAGAAGACAGGACATGTGATTACAACTTAGAGACCATAAACTGACTCAGTGCAAATAATGATTTAGTGTTTTGAGTAATAGGTCAACACTTTTTCAACTGCTTTGTGGTCAAATAGTTGTACTCTCTTAGTGTAAAAGACAAAAATATATATTATCATTACAATACAAAGAAGGAAGCAGAGGCACAGAGTAGAACATTGGCAGAATTAGCAAGAATGGTCTAGACCTAGGAGTCCCATTCTTATCATCATGCCCTTGAAAAAAGTAGATTAGTCAGTAGCTCATAGACAATGTCTTAGCTGCCAGACTCTCTGGTGCCACTTACAGCTATGAGAAATTTTTAAAAATAAAAAACACGGAACAAAGGCAAAACTAAAACCAGCTGGAAGACTATGAGTGTTTTATAGATTCAAAAGGAGACTCACTCATAAAAGTTTGTTTACTGGACATTGCATGGGGAATCACTAATCCTAAGTGAAGGTCTTATCTGTAGCAAAATCAATACTGAAAAATGAT